AAAAAGCCAAGTCACACAGAAGTATGGGTGAGTAGGTGCCTGGAACAGCAATTTCCTTACACTCAAGCACTTAGGTGAGAAGTGGGTTTGCCTATGACAAGACAAGCTTTATCACTTTACTGCATGTTCCACCTGCACACCATGGCTTTACAGGAGTGTTTGGGCAAAGTGCAAAGTAGTGTGAATATTACTGCAATCAGAATTCTTGTGTCATCCTTATTCTGCTCTTTACAGGACAAAGGCTGAAATGTGACATACACGGACAGACTCTGCCTTTACTACTGGCATTCAAAGCTATAAAAACCCTCCTCCAGAACTATGTGCTATGACTCTTCTCACTCCAAGCACATCTTATGCCCAAGAATAAAGAATATGCCAGTTAAGGCTATCTTTAGATGTCAGAATGACCCACTGGGACTGCTGTCACCTGCGCAGGAAACATGAAGTCTTTGCCTCGCACCCGTCATATAGCAAGAGCTTAGCTCAGCTAATCCATTAACTGCTTTCCAAAATCCATAAAGTCACTCATGCGTACTGAAAGGCAGCACAGACATATGCAAAACAGAACAGCAGAAAATCCCTGTAGTATACCCATCTTATTGCCAAATTAGGGATTTTCAGGCTAGATTGGCCATAAAAGCTAGAAATTGTGAAACCAGCAAAGCAAGAGATGAAGAAATCCTTCTTGGAAAGAGTTAATGACAACAGAAAACTGGAGGTAAGTTGGGATAGCCTTCAGTGGTCAGCACATAACACAGATGAGTGTAAAAACAGGCACACTGCCTACCTCCCCTTCCTTCACGTGTCCTGTACCCAAGCAGGGACTAGATCCTGTTTGACTTTGGCCATATAAAAGATTCACTTGAACCTCTGAGGCACTAATTACAGTATTACAACTGATGGGACCTGACAGTACTTAAGGCTGTCATACATAACCACTTGTCCTGCAATGTGAATATATTAAACACAGAAAAAATGAGACCAGCATGCAAGGAGAAACACCCAGTTTGAAAAGGGAGATTTATCTGTTAATTGGAAAGGTTGCTCATTGTTTAAGGTATTTTCTGCTTCAAATCAGTTACAGATAGAGCTTCTTTAGCTATCAGTGAGGTTAATAAAATAAACTTGACAAAATACCCTTGGCACAGTCACAGACTAGTGGGAAGTACATATCAACTGCAGTTGTTAACAGATACTTAATAATTTCACCGCAAGTAGCTTTTACTGAACACTGGCTCCAGAAACATATCACACTTGTGGAGTTAAATATGGGAAAAGTACATCATAATGAGCATCATGTGACAAATAAACGAGAAAAAGAAAACCACTGGGTTTTTTTTTCTGTCTCTTTAAAAAGGGAAAACGAAACGTTTAGGAACAACAAAGAAATACAGCCTATAGATCCAAATCATGAGACCCTTTACAAGACTTATTAGAGACTCTGAGATTAATTGTATTTCATTAACTACTGAGATACACCACAAAGATTTATAGTATAATAGAAGGAAATATATTAGAATATAAACAAAACTGTGATTTTTATCAGACAAATTCGGTTTGTGAAAGTAAATACCATAACTTATTGCATCCACCCCATGAACCTGTTCTCTTAATTTTGTTGTCAGTGAGAGGAAGCACAAGAAAGACCATGAATGTTAGATATTCAACTGTAGCTTTCCCCATAAAGAGACACCTACAAAACACTGACCAATCTGTCACAGAAGAAAATTTTTTGCCTAGGCAAATACCCTTTTTTTGCAGAGTACACCACACTTCAAAGCAAGGATCCCATTGCTTTATTTCCCTGTTAGAATACTCCCTCTATGGGCTTGATTCTTTTTTTCCTTAAGCCTAGGCTGCAGCAGTGTTTATAGACATGCTTAGAGTTATAAAACAGATGCCATAAACCTGGAAGAAACAAACTAATCATACATACCACAGTCCTAGTTAGCTTGAAAGCTCCGCACTTAGAAGGACAGTACAATTTGGAATGCCAGTGGTTGTCCTTTCCTCTGAATTTCCAATAGCTAAATTTATCATATGTCACATCACAGCACAATTGGCAGTTAACCTTCAAGTTATTTCATTTTTGATGTAAATAATCCATGGCAGACAATGAAATATTAAATTAGATTTAAATTGAGTTCAGCTTGCAGAACAATATACCTCAAAAGCATTATCCAACACTGAGCATTTCTCCGCTGTGTTTTTATATAAGCTATTTTTACAGTAACACACTTCTGGTTATTATTTCCCTTTTGAATTATCTTAGATAAACAATGCAAACATCATTTCTGCTGAGCCTGAAGTGCCTACAGTGACCATAATTGAAGTCTTCAGTATATCAGCTGGTGACATTACTTCTGCAAGCAACCTCTTTCCTGTGTAAGAATTTTTACAATCAGTTTCCTAGCTCTACACAAAGCCCCAGTACACCATGATTTAAGCATGTGGGGTGAGAGCTCATCAAACGCAAACTGAATTTTGCCATTGCCTGTGAAGGTTTCTCATAAGTCTAAATCTAAATTTCCTAGCACAGAAATTTTAATTTTCATAACTCTAAGAGATGCTTTTGCAGTCGTTCACGTCTATTATCAGTAGCACTGTTTCATCAAATAAGGGAGGAATTACCATTAAAAAGGGTGACAAAGTATTTATTACGGGCTTGATACTAAAGCCTTCCTTGTATCAAACAGAAAGTAATGTCTGCATGAGGGTATGTACTTCAGAAATGTGATACTGCTTGGCAAAGCTACTCATGGCAAAATTTGGCCATTGGAAATAAAGCCTAATGGTGAGACATGAATCCTTCAAGAGGCATTTCAGGAGAGGAAAGAAGCACAAGATTATCCAACCTGAAGAAAACTTCTAAGGCTGCTCAGGTAAACCTCCATTTGTGTACCCTACAGAGAGGTCCATGTGGCTTTTAGGTGGGCTTGTGCAGTGATTTCTGTCTCAAGGTACCACAGGGGCAGCCCCCAAGGACAGTGTAGACATACTGTACTGAGATAATGCTGAGAACAAGTGGAATGCATAATTTTATTCCTATTCTCTGGTATGCTGCAGTATTTTGTGATCCTCAGGAATGGTGGAAAACTATATAAAAATAAGAACCCTCCCCACCAGCAGACAGATGGTAAAGCTGAGTAAATTAATGTAAAAATCAGGGGCACATTTTCAATAACTATTAACTACTGAAACACCTACAAAATGAAATTATGTTTTCACTATTTCTTGACATTTACAAGTCAAGGCTGCAGGTTTTTCTTGTATATGTGCTTTATCAATCACATTCAGTATGACTGTTCAGCTCCATATTAGCACAACCAGATCAAACTTTTGGTCTGCTCAACTCATGATGTCAGACTAGATGATCTGCTGTATTTTCACAACTACAAACTCTGTAAAAATGTATTTTTAATGTACTGAATACATATCTTAAATGAATAACCTTTCATAAAAAAAGTAAATAAAACTTTTCTATAGATGAAACTTTAAACTAAATAACTTCTGGGAAAAAATAAAAATCACTACAGTTAAAAGTACAGGCTCATAAAGATTTTTTACATGATGGGTTTTCCTGCTCTCCAGAAATTCAAGCTTGATAAATATACTAGAACATCTTTCCAAAGATGTTATCCCAGTGTTTGACTTTAAAGAGCTTATATTAGCTGCTTATAACTTTCATTTTCAGAAATACCTATGTAAGGACAAGACTCAACAGAACAGAAGACAGGGAGATTTTGTGAAAGCTTCCTGTAAAACATTAGCAACAACAAAACGTGTAAGACAGCTCTTCCCAGATATGTGCCCTTCATAGCATAAAGGGTAGACAGCTATGTATTTGCATGAAAAATTAAGATTTAAATACAGAATTACATAACAATATGCATTTCTTAATACTTCAGCTTGAGCCTAAGCCCCCAAAGAGCAGAACAACACTATTGCTCAGTCTGAATTGTTGCCTCTCCCCATTTCTCACTGCCCTCCCTCCAAGTATTCAAGTTCCATCAGGCTAAAATAAATTTATGGTGAGTAACTTGTCAGAATATCTTTTTTCCTTCTTCTTCTTCTTCTTCCCCCACCCCAGTATCAAAGAGACCTGCATTCCCAAGCACACTAATCACTGGGTTCAGGCTGTACTATCAATTTGTCTGGTGGAAAAACCTCTAAACATATGGCTTGAAAAGTTAGTACTGTTAGAAACCAGGCATGTGTAGCAGCAGCTGTCTTACTTGGCATAGCTTTTGTCAAGTTTTCTGGCACAGATACCACAACCACAGACTTCTAATGGCCACTGGTATCAATCAACATGCTTGGACTAATTCTGAACATAGAAGTTTCACATTTCAAGAAGTTTCACATTTTAACAACTATTTTAAGTCAATAAGGCTGATCTAATACACAGGAACATGCTCACTGCTAGCCCAGGGGCATGGCACCTTGCCTACTTTGCTGCCAGCTAAGATACCAGGAAAAGAACAGTGGAAACTAAATCCACTTTGAGGACAGAACACATTCAGATGGCCAGGGAGAATGCCAACTACAGTATCATGTTTAATTCTTAAACACTAATGACTGAATCATGGCAACAACCCCAAAGGGAAATACTCACCTGCTCTTTTAGCAGTACGTGAAGTGCATTTTCGGGGGATGTTTTTTAACACTATCTGCAGGAATCCTATTTTGTAACTCTATGCTATTAATAAATCCTATAATTTCAAACCGAAAATTCCCCCCTGCCCAAATCTCTTTTGAAACACGGGGGGAACAGCAATCTTATTTGGGATGCAATAAGATAAGGAATACAAAAAGAAAAAAGTAATTATATGCTTCAGTTGAAGCAATGACAGGCAAAGAACTACTGGGAGAATAAAGCTGTAAACCCCTTGTCCTCAGTGACACTACAGAGACATCACCGATATTCAATCATACTGAAGTTGTAACTGTGCCTGCATAAATTATGTGTCCCATCTCCAGCAAAAAAAAAGAAAGTGTTTGGAAAATATTCTAAAAATCCTTTTCCATTAATTCTCTTCCTCAGCACATTTTCAATACTCTTATAGTCTGAGCTACTGGCTGTCATCTCCACATAATCTATTTCAAAAAAGACTGAGGAAGAAAAATTTCCTAATTTTGGATTGCCAAGGACACTACAAACAATACCTTGCACTGAGCTTAACTCCTGAACTTGTAACACTTTGTTGCCCTATTACTACAGTACAGAAACCTGTAGTTCTCCATGCATAACACAAAAATGTAGGCAAAAAATGCAATCCTTCTAATTTTAGTATGAAATAAAATTGAAATGATTTTCAATTTTTTCTAAACTTCTAGAGTTTATAAGAATAGTGCAGATACTGCACAAGGTTTGCCTGCACAGTCTTAACCTGAAATACCTTGAAGTCAATGAGACCAATAATGATAGATTTAAAAGTGATGTACCCCTGGAATTGGCCCTTTGATAACTGCACAAATTTCAGGCTGCATGGCAGTTCATCTGTTTGTAAAGTGATCTCAGTCAGGTGGGACAACACATAAAGGAAGCAGGTCAGAAAAAAACATCAGTTACGTGCACACATTGAGTACTGACAGAAATCCTCAAAGGCTTTGTTTAAGAAAGGATAATCTTCAGAATCTGGTACAAACACATAAACAAAAATCCTAGGCCTGTCTATTGCAGTCGAGATACTTTTGCCATTGACCACCATGAAACAACAATTTAAGCTATGGCATTTATAACCCTTACAATCTACCACCCAAAAGTTGCCTTTTAGAACTGGAATTACCAAGATAAATGCTTTCAAGAAATTTAGTTCTAATCCTGACAGAGTTTCAGTTGGACATGTGGAAAAAAAACCTTTTAGCCCCACAGGCAATGCAACACTGAAACAGGTTACTCAGGGTGCAGAATCTCCATCCCTGAAGGTTTCCAAGACTTGTCTGACGGATCTAGCATTGACAGAAGTCCTACCTTGAACAGGAAGCTCACGGAGGACTAAATGACCACCAAAGTTACCTACACTGCAAAGTCAAGACACCACATTGAGGGATACTCTAATTAAAAGATACTGTTTACATGAGTTTGCTTTATTACTTTGGTTTTTATTGATCACTCTTCACTCTCATGTTTATTAGAAAACATGAAACACCTCAAAAAATAAAACCTAAAAACTGGGGAAGAGACATAATACTGTGTTGAGAAGTCACTTTTAGGGAAAAAACTCAACATAATTCAAGGAAACTCATTCTGGTGTGAAGCACACAAGCTATCAGCTCAGAAGTATTTTGTCTGTAAAGACAGTAGACTCTAAAATAAACAGGCATTTGGTGCTGTTCAGAAAGAACCAAGACATTAGAAGAGATGCAAGAATAATAATTAATTAGGGAATCTAAGAAAGATTCTAGCAGATTCAGAAGGGAAAAAAAGCTACATGAGGTTCATCTTACACAAACACATAGGTGTAAATATTCTTCTTACACCAGCCCTCTATTTTCATGCTTGTTTCAAAGCAAAGTTTGGTAGAGGTGGAGCATGAGAAGGAAGACTTTTTCAGAGGAACAGATGATCTCAAATTCTGACTGCAATTGGAGGCTTTAGATATCCCTGCAATACTGTTACTATTTGTGCTGCACCATGTGGAAGCAGAAGGCAAGCCCACATACAGCATCTTTGAACCTGGTGCAGCTTGTTGCTTAATTCAGTCTCAACTCATTATGTAGAAGTACTGAAAAAAGTGCTAATGAACTTAAGACTTTCTGCCAAAAGGATGACTGATTTCCCAGTTAGTCTGACAATTTTACAAGGTGGCATCACTTTGGCTTCACTGAATTTGAGACTAACCACAAAGTGTTCTGTCCTCAGAAGATTTATCTTTCCATTCCAAAACAATACCTCAGTTTTCTCCAGTGCATCAGCAGTTGTAACTGAATACTGAATTGGAGAAAAAAGAGCTTTTCCTAACTGCATTAAAGACAGTGAGATAACAGAAATATACCTTTGCTAATTTAACAAACAGCTGCTATTTATCCCCTTTGACTAATATATTTCATTAAGTATTTCATAAATTAGTTTTTTGAAAGTACTTTGCCTTGGGTAACACTATGAAGTAAGCCTACAGTAAGAGTATCTTTAAACAATGTTAAAAAATGAGACAACTTGCAGAAAAACTAACTGCAGTTTAATCCAGGCTGTGGCCTGTGTGCTTGTCATAGGCTCCATTTTCTGCAAAATGGAATAAGAAGTTTCAGCCCTGGTTCCCAGGTGCTCACATTCCCAAAATTCCTCTTCTGCTGGCACTAGTAAGGTCTCTTTTTGAGCATTCAAGCTTACATCACACCATGCAACAGGAGAAAATATTGAAATTTTCCTTATGTGCTCCATTTTCATCCAACTGTGTGGATGAAAAGGACCCTAAGCAAAACCAATTATCATGCTAAGCACAACTAATCACTGACAGACTAGATCCATCTCACTAGCATTACATTCGTTGTAGATTCTTGCAAATAGCTGGAGAAGGATGCAAAAAGCTGAATAAACAAGCAGACACATGAATGCTTCATTAAGGGTTATATTCTATTCTTGCTTTTCCTCTGGCTCTTTTGTTAAGTTAGTTTTACAGAAGCTTTTGCATCATCAACATATCACAAATACTTACGTTTGATGCTGGTCAGTCTACTTTTGGGCATCGAACAGTCTACAGCTGCTAAAAATAAGAAAAACACTAAAAGTGACTGATTTGGTATTTACTTAGTATATATGATAGCTAGAAAAAAAGTAGCAATAAACAAACATAGAACAAATACTAATTTAATTCTTCTCTATTTTAAAACTTGCTAGTTACTGTGTACTAGTACTGTGACAATATTGGGCTGATATTAGTACAGTAACAGAATTTGTGAGATAAACTGTTTGGGTAAAATTCTATTTAAAGATAGAATCATCACTTAAATGAAGATTCCTTACAAAAGGTTTCTGTACATTTTGTGCTGATGGCATGTACCTGCATACCTAAGAGTAGTGAGTATGCTACATGGTAGAGAGATAACAGTGTATTTGTGAGCATGGATTCTGACAGTTACATGATTTTCTCATTTCCAAACACATGGGGCAATTTTCAAAGTCTGCAAAACTTGCTACTACTACTCACTGCAATATGAACAAAAGATAATTAAATTTCTGAAATAAAAGACATAGTGGTCTGAGTTTAACTGGAAATTTTCTGCCTTCATTCCTAAAATAAATTCTGAATGTTTGCTATTCTATCACTGTGATTTTTCAGTTCAGCATATTGTTTCATCATTTATTACATCAAAAGCAGAATGAAGCCATTATAACACAAAGTACCCTAAAATTTAGGTAGTATTTCTGGCAACACTTAAGGGAAAGGTTTTAATACCAAACTTTCAATCTCAGTAACACAAAAGTAACACTAAGTAGCAGCCTTGCTGACATCAGTTTGAGCAAGAAAAAAAAAAGAACAGTACAGTTCCTATAACCCAGTTCATTCCTTCTTAATATGAGCCTATTCTGAGAGAATGAGCTAAATCTGGGGGTAGAAGGTTCATTCATACAGGTACATTTTTACCTTTGGCAGAAAGGATTTTGTTATAATGACACATCATGTGACGTCTGATCAGGTACTGATCAGTTAGACTTTGAGAGGAGTCAATGCAGAAAGCTGCAAGATTAAAATACATTTGAACATTAGAAAGGCAAGCACAATACTAAAATTTTAAACAGTTAACTGCAATTCAAAGTCACAAAGTTTAAATTACTGTGTGCTTAACTTCTCTGCTCAATGGCAGTAATTTTTCTTTACCAGTTACTACCACATGAAATCATGCTTTCTCCTTTTTCTTTCCCCACTGAGCCATTAACTTAATAAATAGCTAAGAAAGTGGCTGAAACTGGGTCATGAAAATGTCGGCATGGAAACTTCCTGTTTCTGCACTCTATGCTCTTTTGAAAAATAGTGTCTGAGGTGTCAGTATGGCACAGAACCATATACTAGCCCATGTAAACTATTGACTGTAAAGGAATATGTTTAACCTCAAGGGATCTTTAAAGCAGTAACCATAGATATATTCCAGCTAATATAGATTGATATCTTTACATATTTGGTTGTCCTGCTACCTATTTGTAGTCAGCAGTACAGTCAAAGCAAAACTTACTTCTTGAAAGTACTTTCAGCAATGTACACTAAATTTAAGTCCTAGTAAGCTTTACCAAATGAGCTCAATGCAAAGGTTTTAATTATAAAAACACTTTAATCATAAAAATCAATGAATTTACATAAAAGGAACCATGCTAACCTTCTGATGAAAGCACATGTTACTTACCATTGCTCTTAGTACTTAAGTGTCCTTTGAAGGGACTTGCTGGACCACATCTGGGAATGGCAACAGCTGGGTATTCACCCACTGGAACAAAATGTGAAACAAAACCCAGAGTTAGGAAAAGAAAATCCCACAAATATTTTTACAGACAAGATAAAGTTAAATTCTTTCTCCAAAGAACTCATGAATGGTTTTAGTGGACCCTTTTTCATTGATTATTGCTGAAATACAACAGTGTGATTAAGTAACTTAACCTAAACAGCAATATACACTGACAGCTCTCAGTGGTTCACGGAGTTACACAGCAGAACTGACCACTGGCTCACATCACTCTGACTTCGCATTGGTCATTAAACTCCACAGAGAGATGGCCACAGTTTTGTTCCTATGCTAACCTCCAATTTGTTTGGAAGTTTTGTTGATGAAATTTTATCATTATGTCAAATGACTAAGATGAACAATATTCTGTATGCAGACAATGACTGTGGTTAGTGTTATACTAACACACAAGCTTAATAGGTTGAAAGAAATTAATTACGCTTATGCATAAAAAATCTTATCAATGAGAACATACTTAAAAAAACCTGATTTGCCATTCAATCTTCTGGCAATTTGATAGACTGGGAACTCTATAGACAAGTGTAGATGCAGCCAAAACTCAGACAACCAGTTGTTCTGAAAAATGAAAGAATGTGAACTAAAAGCTCTGCATCTTCTCCTTGAAAATAATGAGGTACTGCCAGACTTCAACCACTGTCTGCAACCTGATATTTAAAAACTGGCACATAAATTAAGAATCTGCAACACTTTTTAGAACAAATTTTAACAAGAGATATACGATTACTACAAATACTAGTGAATACACAGTGTTGCTTTAAGGGAACCAAGATATGCATAATGTAGTGCAAAGCAAAGATTTTTTTTAAACCCAGTAAATATACAAACAACACCTAACCTCAATTCTAAAACTGTACAGAGAAGTTCTACAAATTTATTATTACTATCAAGGTCCATACGGTCTTCCCATTCCCATTCTCCTTCTCATCTGTCAGTTCAAGAGTCTGCAACCACCAACATTAGCGTCTCCTAGCAATTGGAAGAGCTGCGGCTCTGGGGCAGCAACTCCACTGCTCTACACTTCCTGGACACCTCCAGCTTTCCACCCTTCATCAGATGAAGAAGGATACTGGACCTGCCCAAGATGAGTGGGAATCTCTTCTCAGTGGCCCTAGCTGGGTTGACAAAGGCAGACAACATTGCAAACTGACTTAGGTGGTGCAAGAAGCCATGCAAGTCACACCACACAGGTTAAAAGCTCATTAATCCCACCTCTCATAGCCTCTTACCTCCTGCATGCCCAGCACCTGGCTTCCAGGGCTTGTTTTCCATTTCCCACTCTTACACAATGACCATTAGAAAACTATTGCAACTACTGTATTATATAGCCCTGTTTTAAGTGCAACAGCACAAAATGGTTAACATGGTGTCTAACTATTAGTAGAGACTACAGCAAAACAAATCACTCATTTAACAATGTTTTAATATAATTAAAAAAAAGAACTTACTACATACTATACTAAATTTTGAACGACTAGGATAAGTTTTAAAAGATTATATTAAGAAAATTATCTTAGGAAAATAGATAAAATTAAAAATCATTATCAAGTATTGAAATTTGCAGAGTACTTTTTTGGGACCCTGTTGTGAAATGACACTAAATTTGGATGAATAGACATCTCCTCTCTACAAAGCACAACAAATACTGTAAGGACTTCACTAAATTTTGAACGACTAGGATAAGTTTTAAAAGATTATATTAAGAAAATTATCTTAGGAAAATAGATAAAATTAAAAATCATTATCAAGTATTGAAATTTGCAGAGTACTTTTTTGGGACCCTGTTGTGAAATGACACTAAATTTGGATGAATAGACATCTCCTCTCTACAAAGCACAACAAATACTGTAAGGACTTCATACTTTGAAAAGCCAACCTTCGTACAATATGAGCTTCTGTGGCTTTACAATATTGGATACGGTGTCTGCAATAACAGCGTTCCCACTCTCTTTGCTGTGAAGTCGCCAGACCAGCAGTAGAAAAGGGACAAGCAAAAAAAAAAGAAAATCCCACTGCAGATTTTTTCAGCACTGTACTGCAATGGTTTTACGTTTATAGTTTTCTTTAAAAGTCAAA